AAATTTTTTTTTTTTTTTTTTTTTTTTTTTTTAGTTGGAGATATGGAACTGTATCACATTTCAGAGATTGATTTATTTGAATCAATCTTAAATTATAATTCGTACCCCTATTACTATAAATAGACTTTATAGAAAATGTTTTATTTGGGAAATTGAGTTAAAACATTGGCATTCATGCTGGAAGAGGTCAATTGTATGAGGAGACTTGAGTAGGAAGTATGTGAAAATAGAAAAAGGTATAGAGCTGGCAGCTATTGCAGGGAAGAAGGTGTATATGAGGGAGACAGGGAATGGAAATGGTAGGGTTGGTGCCCAGGGAGAATGGCAGACATTCAGGGGAAAAAATTCTCAGAAAAGCCAGAATATGCTATTAGGCACAAGCCTGTGGCTCGGGAAACAAATGGAGTCTATGTGAAGATTGAGATTTGTCCATTGGAAGACAGACATAAAGTGGTTTGTAATGTTGGCTCACCCATTCTGGGTATAACAACTTTGCTCCTTTTTGGCCTATAGTGCCCCCTGGTGGTACTGTTGGTAATATTCGTGGAGTTCTTTGATCTTGCTATGATTCCCTATATAGGTGATTTACTCCCATGCCAAACATGGAAGAAATTATTTCATGTGCATGAAAAAGACTGGAGTATATTTTTAGGATAACTTCATAAATTAATTCTCTTATTTTCTACATGCAATTTTCCACTAATAGAATTTCTCTTGTAGAGGATATTGAAGAATAAGATCCAAGCATTCTGCCCTGGCCAGATGGGTCAACTGGGGATATGATAGAAATATTTTGGACACCAAAAGGGGTGAATTTTACTGTATGTAAATTTACCTCAATTTTATAAGATCCGCCTTTATCTAGTGAAGTGACCATTGCTCTAATTGGGACCTTGCCTTTTGTTTCACAAAATAATAAACTAGATTAGTTTGTCAGTTAGTAGAATTAAGTGAAAGTTGCTATGTACATCTGCCTATCCCTTTGAAAACTAACCTGGAGAGCATCATTATGCTTTCTCAACAAACACTTCAGGAGCTCTTGGTGCAGACTTTATTTAGCATCTAGCATGGTCAGTATATAGAATTCCCTCTTAACGTCCTTCTTCCTTCTTCATAAGAAGTTTTGTACAAGCTCCTGGACCATGAATTTTTGTACTTGAGGTCTTGAGCTCCATTAGGAAAGGTTTTCCTGCCCCCAAACTATTTCTTCTCATTTGCCACCAAATTCTAAGTTCTATTCTTAATTGGGCCTTCCATCTATTTTTTTTTCCTTTTCACAACCAGCTAGTCTAGGAGTAGGTCACCAAGGACCTCCTGGAGTCAAAGCAGAAGAAGAGCACAGTGGGAAGCGAGTGTTACTGATTCAGAGCTAGGTAACACTCCTGTACAGGAACTGCAAACACAGGAACCACATGCCAGTGCCTAGGCCTGAGCAGGATGGCCTCTACCCTGTGAAATTGCTTACTTATGTAATATCTCTGCTCTTAAATTATATGTAATTTTGGGATTTGCTTTACTTTTAACTTGAGAGTAGTTCTTAGTACTTAGAAGAAAGAAGAGTTAGAGCAGACATGAAATATTATATAGTAAGAAAATTCCTCCTTAAGGGACTGCTTTACTGATTTTTAGCAGCATAATTACCTATCCCGACAAGTTCAGATTGAAGCAGGGCCCCCTTTCACTGGTTCAGACACTCTCCTCCCAAAGCACCACCCTGAAAACTCCTCTACCAGGCTTAGTATCTAAAAGCATGCTCTTCTGTAGCATTCCAGACAGGCGTGTGTTTCATTCTCTGTGGTTGGCATAGTCACTTCCTGTTTGTTTCCTGCTGGCCCACAGTGAAGGCAAGGCCAGGTCCTGAACTGAGGCAGTGGATGCAGTCTGCATCTTGCCAGCGGAAGTGGATTGTTTAGTCTGGGTTCAAGCACAGGGCTAGGCAGTCTCAAGTTTGGAATAAGAGTGGCATGCAAGAGCCTCATGAAAGACATACTTGATCCCTGAAGAATTGCGTGCAGCTGTACACATAACAAGGCACAGAAGTGGTCAGATGAAATTAGAGAATCAGGGAGGAAAGGTCAGCTGGAACTCACTGTGGGACAGGGACAGGCGAGTAAGTCACCTTTGGCATTTTAGTGTGATATTTTCAGAAGCAGCAAATTCAGGCATCTCTTTTATGAAACAAATACTAGCTTCGTGGTATAGTTAAACTTTCTCTTATAAGTATAATTTATTTATCGAAATCTTAAAAGTTGTAGGCTATTTAACTATAAAATTAAATGTAGAATGGATTCTTCTCTCTGCCTTATTCTAAATTAGAAGCTGTTATCCTATCATCATGTTACAATCTATACTAGTAATAATAAAAGCATAATATGCTAATTAGACTGGACATCTTTCCGACGAAGCTGGGGCTTCCAGGGAAGCCCAGGTCCTGGGTGCCTGCCGGTGGCCAGAGGGAAGAAAGCCTGGGTCCCGGGTGCCAGAGGGAAGCCGGTGCCAGTAGCCAGGGGAAGAAAGGCCTACTCTTGCACAAATTTCGTGCATCGGGCCTCTAGTATTCAAATAACCCATTCCTAGTTGTTCCCCAGCCATTCTTAAGTTGTACATATATAGCATTCAAATCTTAAAGAATTTTCATTAAACGTAGGTAGATCATCTATAAAATTCAGAATTTTTTCTTCTTTTTAAAGAATTTCTTATGTTAGCTCTTATTTTGGCAATAGAAGAATACAGAACACTTATCATGAATACCCCATAGTGGGGTTTGAATTATGACTTGCTTGATTGGGAAAGGGAAGTGAGGCATGGGTGGGACCTCATACTTGAATGATTTGGCAAAACTGTTATCCTCTTTTTCTAATCCCCCAAAATATGCATGTTAGAAGTAGGGTTTCCTCTTGTCCTATGACAAATTTGAATCCCTCAACATCTTTTCTCCTATTTCCTGATACTCAAAGATTTTGAACAAATACTTTGGAGAAAACCAAAGAAAATACATAGAAGACAAATTTAATATGAATTGTTTACTTTATTAGCACTAAATGCAAGCAGTCTTTTGTTCAACTTTTTCAATTCTCTTTTTCTCCTGGTAAGGTAATGAAGAGAAGACAATCTCTAATCAAGACTTCAACAATAAAAGAGTAGATTTAATTTGAAAGCCCAAGGAGTTCAGATTCATTCATTTCAGCTATGTGCTGAGGGTCTGTTAAATCAGGTATTGTTCTTGGTGTAAGGAAAACAAAGAGTATATAGACACACAAAGTATATATACAAAGTTCTGTATATAGACACACAAAGTCCTTACTTTAAGGAACTATGTCTCCACTTGGATCTCTTTCTAAAACTTAGCCAATATTGTACTCCTGAAAGGCCTCAGAATGCTTTCATGTGTAGGCTTTATGTAATAGAGTTTTTAGTTAATGTTTTATTCCTTATAGCCTATATTTATATATTAAAGGCAGACATATAATACATACAGTTATATGTATAATTTCTGGATCCTAGCAGCCAACACATAATAGTGGTCCTTACTGTTGAATATTTGCTAAATTGTTTCAGTGGGTAAGGTACTATTCCAAGATCATGGGTGATATAGGGTTGGATAAAACATGATTCCTCTCCAAGGAGCTTATAATCCTGGTGGGAGAAGTGAGCATATGCACGGCCACTCCAACAAAGTGTGAGTGGTGTAGTATAGATACAGTGATCTTAACTGTCTGTGGTTCCTGTCTCTGCTGCGGTGATTTGGGGAGTTGGCTTATAGGTATAGACGTGACTTTCTGAAGTCAGTCCTATATGCAGAAAATGAAGTTTGAATTTATCCTCATATTGGTCTTGAGTTGTTCCCCCTTTGATTTACCTATCACCAGACTTTTATTCTTACTTGAAATATCCCAATCATTTAACTTGATTGCAGTTAACTCCTAAAAGCTCCTACATGAAGATTTGAGAATTAAAGGCAAGGAGACATATTGTAATACTTTTAACAATAAAGAATTTTTTTAAATTTCTTTATTGGTTAAGGTATTACAAATGGCTCAGTGGATAGAGTGTCAGCCTGTGGACTGAAGGGTCCCAGGTTCGATTCCGGTCAAGGGCATGTACCTTGGCTGTGGGCACATCCCCAGTGGGGGGGGGGTGCAGGAGGCGGCTGGTCGATGTTTCTCGCTCATCGATGTTTCTTACTCTCCCTTCCTCTCTGTAAAAAATCAATAAAATATATTTTTTTAAAAAATGTCTCAATAAAGAATTTTTTTAAAAAAGAATAAAAGGCAGTTGCCCTGGCCTGTGTTGCTCAGTTCGTTGAACCATTGTCCCATATACCAGCAGGTGGCAAGTTTGATTCCCAGTTTGATTTAAAATCAATTTAAAAAGAATTAAAGACAATGTTTGGGGGTTTAGAAGGGGGTGGTTACAGAGGGGTGATAGAAAATCATTGATTCAGGATGAGAACTCTGATGTTTCCTTTCAGAACATGCTTGGGTGCTGTATAAAAAAATCTATACCGGTTATCAGAAGATGTGATATGATGTTCCAGTTAATGAGTTTGTAGCACGATATTACATAATATAGTATTGATTCAGTTTGGTTTAATCTAGTGCAGATGCATTATTCTAGCCTTAGGAGTTCTGCTTGCTTAACTTTCTTAGGACAAAGAATGTGACTTATGCCAAAATTGAGCAATGAGTAATGGCTTCACTGTGGTTTTTCCTAATTTGCTATTCAAAATTTGTCTCATTGACTGCTTATTAACTAGTCTAAGTATTTTAAGTATTTGCAAGTAATTAGTCTGCTGTGTGAATGGCTTGAGTAGTGATTAAAGTGGAATGTCAACTTTTTTTTTATTGGAAACATTCCTATTTTTGTTGAGCTCTCCTTCCTTTGTAGATGAAAAATTATAGTTCTCATGGCCTTTGTTTAGTTGTTTCTTTGATTTGATCCCACACACCTAAGCTGTAGGCATGAGCTTGAGAGTGGTGCTATTAAAGAGAGGACCTGCTAGATCTGGTTAGATCTGAGGCCACTGTTAAACAAGGACCCTTTTCTAAGGTCACAGACTGTAACCCCCAAACCTCATCATGATGGCAGTGTGTGAGCTATTTCAAGAGGACCGGACAAATGTGTTCACATCCTTTCCTAGTATTGAAAATATGAGAACACTGGAGTAAGGGAACATCCCCGGAAGGAGTCCTTCCACAATGCCAGGTTTATTAGGAGAATAAACCCCATTACACCCTCGTACCTCAGTCTTGACATAGTACTTGATATAACTGTCATGGCTGTCTGTGACTCCATAGTGGATTGACAGAGGTGTCCAAAAAGTCCGCTCTGCTCTGCTCTCTGCATCGTTAGCACCCAGCCTTTCACAAGGGCAGCAAATGCACACAAACATTCTCCTCTCTCCTCATGCTGTGGTGGAAATATCCATAGATGAGTCAGATGACCAGAATCGAAGTCCTGGGATTTGGGAATTAAAAAAAACACACACCACCAGGTTCAGTTGTACTACCATAACAGTTTTGCGACTTGAGCAGTTTTATATAACTTCTCTGGATTTGTTTAGTATTTTTAACGGCCTTATTGAGATATAATTCATGTATTATACAATTCAGTCATGTAAAGTATATAGTTCATTGGCTTTCCGTATATTCACAGAGTTGTCCATCTAACACCACAGTTGATTTAGAACATTTTCATTGCCCTCCAAAGAAACCCTACACCTAGTTGTCACTTACCAGTCCCCTCATTCCCTCTAGTCCTAGGCATCCACTAATCTATTTATAAATTTGCCTAATCTGGACATTTCACATAAATAGAATCATACAATAATGTAGTCTTTTGTGACTTCTTTCACTTAGCATAACATTTCAAGGTTCCTCAGTATTTAGCACTTATTAGTGCGTTGTTCCTTTTTATTGCCAAATAATATTCCACTGTATGGATATATTACACTTGTTTTATCCATGCATCAGTTGATGGACACTTAAGCTGTTTCCACTTTTTGGCTACCATGAATAATGCTGCTGTGAAGCTTCCTGTACAAGTTTTTGTGTGGACCTGTTTTCATTTCTCTTGGGTATATACCTAAGAGTGAAATTGCTAGGTCACATGGTAACGCTATGCTTAACTGTTTGAGGAATTGCCAGACTGTTTCCAAAGTGTCCATTTTATACGCTTAATTTTACAGTGTACTAGGATTCCAGTTTTCTATATCCTCACCAGCACTTATTTGTAATCTGACATTTTTAAAATTATAGCGGATATGAAGTGGTATCTCATTGTGGTGTTGATTTGCATTTTCCTGATGGCTAATCATGTTGAACATGTTTTCATGTGCCTACTAGCCATTTGTATATCTTTTTTAGAGATATGTCTGTTTAGATCTTTTGCCCATTTTTTAATTTGACCATTTGTCTCTTTATTATTGAAGTGTAATAGTTCTGTATATACTCTAGATATAAGTCTCATCAGATAAATGAGTTGCAAAGATTTTCTTCCATTCTGAATTATCTTTTCACTTTTTTGATGATGTGCTTGAAGCACAAACACAATTTTTATATGCCCAGCTTATCTAGTTTTTTTTAAATTATGTTTTTAGTGTCATATGTAAGAAACCATTGCCTAATTCAAGGTCATAAAGTTTTGTCAATTTCTGCAAAAAAAAAGTCAGCTGAAATTTTGATAGGGATTTTGTTGAATCTGTATGTTAATTTGGGGAAAACAATGTTTTATAGTGTTCAGAGTAAAAGTTTTGTACTTCTTTGGTTAAATTTATTCCTATGTATGTTATTTGTTTTGTTTCTATTGTAAATGGAATTGTTTTAATCTCATTTTTTATTTGCTCATCACTACTGTATAGAAATATAATTTTTATATATTCATCTTATTTCTTGCAACATGCTGAACTCATTTATTGATTCAGTTATTTTTTAGTGGGATTGTGTCATCTGAAAATAGAGATAGTTTATCTCTTTCTTTTCAATCTGGATGCCTTTTATTTCCTTTTCTTGTGTAGTTGCCCTGGCTAAAACCTCCAGTACAATGTTGAATAAAAGTGGGAGCTTAGTAATCCTATATAATAAAAGGGTAATATGCAAAGTGACGGAGCAGCAGAATGACTGGTCGCTATGATGCGCACTTATCACCAGAGGACAGATGCTCAACACAGGAGATGCCCCCTGGTAGTCAGTGTGTGCATTCCCACAGGAGGAGCACCACTCAGCCACAAGCCGGGCTGCTGGCTGGCGAGCGCAGTGGCCCAACTCCGCGGCAGTGCTAAGGCTGTCCAGCTGCGGGCCTAAGCCATCAGTCGGACATCCTCCGAGGGCTCCCAGACTGCAAAAGGGCGCAGGCCAGGCTGAGGGCACCCCCCCACCAGTGCACAAATGTCGTGCACCAGGCCTCTAGTTTTAAAATAAAGTCCTAGATCCAAAAATGACTTGTAAAGGTTAATGGTCGGTAATGTTGTCAAGGCCCACAATCTATAAGCAGTGAATCTGAGGTGCTGATAGATGTGTATGCTCATAATTTCTATTTCTCCCGGAAAACATTAGCCAAACAGGATCATTTTTACTAAACTGTTGTCTCCTAACAAATTTTTTTTGCAGTGAAAATTTAGATTAATTGAAGAAATCTTTAAAATCCATCTTTCTCTCCAATTCAATGAGAAATATGCTTACATATTCTGGGTACAGATAAAACATGGTCCTTGCGTGATAGATGAATGTAAACACTAGTCAGTGTCCCAATGTTTCTCATGCCTCCCTCTAAAGTGCCTTTGCTTTTCTTAACCATTCAGAATAAAATAGAGGAACTTTGGTGCTAGAAGAAGCTATCCTCCCTCCTTTTATAAATGAAGAAATAGTTCACTAGAGGTCAAATCCTGGGCATGGTCACAAGTACTATGCATATATACTGGTATAGTAGGCCCTCAGTTACTGGCTGTTGAGTGAGTTAGGCCTAGGGACCTTCAGAGGATTGGGGTGAGAACTTCTGGGTTCTAAAGCCTCAGTGGTCACCTGGCTCTAAACCTCGTGCTGGTGAATTCTGCTCTGCTGTCCCCAGGGGATGCCTGTAGCAGCTGTTGTGCATCCAGCTGACAGGTCTGACCTGACGGAACTAGAGGGCTCTCAGAATCCTCCCACTACGCAGCTGGCTGTCTGGTCTGAACTGATTTGTTCCTTGCAGCTTTAGTTTGGGATAGTAATCTTTTGTAGGGTTATATACAGTGTGGGGACAGGGACTTGGCAGGGCAAAGGAGTGTTTTAGTAGTCTACCCTTTAAATCTTCCACCTAGAAGAGAATTCCTAATAGGGATGAAGAAACACTGTGCTACACTTTTTCATGTTCCTAATTCCATTTCTACTACCCCACATCCTTGGTAATGGCAAAGGAAGAGTGTGTATTCCTTTTTTAACTTGACAGAGGGAATGTGGAGGCCCAGTAATTCACTTGCCTAAAGTTAAAGAGTTTAGTATATTGAGGGGGACTGGCAGAAGAGGAGATGGGCAGTATACTAGTGTACTGTCCATGGTTTCATAGCTGTTTGAGTATGTACAGTTTGTGTATTAGAGTTCTTAGGTAGCTCTTCTGGGCCTAGAATGTAAATGCTAATAAAGAACAACCCTAGTGGTTGAGATCCAGTGCGATGGTTCTGTGACTTTTGGCTGGTGCTATTGCTACGACCATTGGTTAATTAAAATGACAAAGTACATTGAGAACTAACTGATAATAACTTTTTTCTGCCATCATCACCTCCCAAGTAAAGACAACCCTTCACACTCTTCCTCGGAACTTGCTCCACCTCAGTACTTTCTATTAATATAGAACAGAAACATTTGGTTAAAATGTAGAAGTCTATGTAACAAAAGTATGTTTTTAAAATAGATAATTTGAATAGTTTCAGTTATCTTTTAATTTGCTAACTCTGTCTCTTTTCTCCTTCCTTCTCTTTGCCCATTTTGAACTCAGAAAAACTTGAAGGCATTACTTGGTACAGTAGTTGCAGACGCCTCGGTTTGAATCAGGCTCTGCTACTTATGTCTGAGTGATCGTCAGTTGTTTGCTTAACCTCTCTGTGCCAAAACTTGTTACATGGAAAAATAATAACTTGTAACCTCATAGGATTGCAGCAATGGTTAAATGAGTTAATGCATGTAAAGTGTTTAGAAGAGTACTTGGCATGTAGAATGTACCTCGTACATGTTAGCTGTTTTTGTTAAAAGTAGTCATAATAATAAAAATACTATCACTACCACTGCTACTACTGTAGTCTTGATCCAACTCCAACTCTTCTGGTCAAAGTTGAAGTACATGTAATTTAGCTTATGTAAAAACTAATTGAAGGTAATTTGTCCATCACACATACCTTCCTCTCCTATCAGTTGGGATGATAAGGGACAGTTGGAGAATGAGGCCGATTTACAAGGCATGACTTAGAATCCTGTCCTGATTCCTCCTCATTGGGCTTCCCAAGTAGCTAGAAAGTGTTCCTCTTAACTGGATTTAGCCCGAGCATTCCAGGTTCACTCAGTGTTGGAAAACCAACCACTTTCTAATCTATTGAACTAGATTTAAACAGAACCACCTCCAGGGTTGCCTTTAATGCCTTGTTCCTTCCTCTCTTAATCTGCAGGTATCTCAGATGAAGACATTATCAACATTACTCTTCCCACTGGCGTCCCCATTCTCCTGGAACTGGATGAGAACCTGCATGCTGTTGGGCCTCACCAGTTCCTGGGTGACCAAGAGGCTATCCAAGCAGCCATTAAGAAAGTAGATGATCAAGGAAAAGTGAAAAAAGCTGCAAAATAAAGTTTTTCCCAAGTGTTGGCTAGGAATAGCTACAAAAAGGAGTGGCATGCAGTGTGTTATAGGTGCTGATCTCTCCCTCTCCTCTCTCTCCCTTTTCTTGATTTTTCCAGAGCTTGGCTGTGGGGTAAAGTTTGTATCGGTAACTAGGTAACTTATGTTGGCCCAGATAAAGACTTTAGGGTGCCTGAGTGCTTATGTCATAAATCTTATGGGTTAGCTCTCCTGCTGGCCCTGTTTTGAGTTAAATTACTCAGCAGTGGGGCTTAATGTCATAAGTTTCTTAGATGGTAGAGTGATTATGGAGGTAGAGTTTAAGGTATTCATCATTCAACAAATCATTATGAAGTCACCACTGACAGGTACTAATTACTGCAGTAAGTAGTTCACTTTTATATTTACTAAGACTTTCTGGGATGATAGGAGAGTATATTAGATAACTATACTTAAGTATTTATTATTAGTCTTTTCCTCTAGGAAAAGGGATGTTTTAATAGGTTAGATGAGAGGCCCATTAAATGGGAAAGCCACAGATGGGTTCCTCCACAACAGCCAGCAATAAACAGCAAGGCCCTTTGCCCTGTCTCTAGTCCAGAGACTCCGTTGACATATGGTGGAATTCCTCTTTGGCAGTTAGAATTAGCAGCACATAGACAACTATAGCTGTTTGTGTTCTCTTATTTTTGTTTCTTGAACTTTAATCCTTGGGTACTTAAAATTGGTTTTAAAATAAAGTTCTGTGACCAAAAATGATATCCCCAAGTATCTCTATGTGATTCATAAATATTAGATAAAGGCCTCTGAACTGAAGCCTTCTGCTTGTATCTTCCTGTAACACTCAGAGTTGCACCTTTTTTTCAACACATAGACACTCTAATTCTCTATAAATTGAAGGTTGGTGTCAGGATGTATAACACAGTGATGTAATTTTATTCACATGAGCAAGGGAAATGATATCTTGGAGTTTGTCACATACATTTATTGTTCATCTGCTGAGGGCTAAGAGTAGCCAGGGTAGGCCATGGACAGAATTGATTGCTTATCAATCTTAATGATACTGTTTTCCATAGTATATTTTTAAATACTATAGTTATATAAGTCATTTCTTTAAGGAACATATATTTCAATGATAAATTCATGTAAAAATTTGTAGCTGTAATGGATGTTACAGATATTTACCATTTTTTATGACTTTCCATTGGTGGATTAGCTCATTGTATCCATGTTATAATAAAACTGGCATTAGAAGAAAACTAATTTTAAAACCCTTGCCACTGTTTGATCTCTCTTTAATCCTTAAGTCAAGACTCACAGAGCATTGGCTGATAAGGTGGCTGAAAAAAAGAGATGAACCTGGTTTTTTTCACTGCTGGCCACATCTGTGATGCATACGAATGTAGAATGTGGATGCTTTACATTTCTGACCAACCACTGGCTTCTCTACTGTAATCCTTCTTTTTAGTCCAATTGCGTAACCAAATGACACTCGTTAGAATTTAGAGATCGGAGTCAACCACCAACTACCAGATATTCCTACAATTACAAAATCTGTGTTGAGGCTGCATCTCTGGAATTGGTCTCTGAATTTTCCAGCCTAAGGGGTGACCATGTCTTAATGCAGCTCAAGATCCTAGAGTTGGATTCTTGCCTTGTCCTGAATCTAGATGTCGACTTCCAGGGGCCCCACCCGCAACATGATATGTTTCTGCATACAGAGCTATACTCACACCCAGTCACTTTGGAATCTTGCAGACTTCCTCAGGTAGGGATCATTTTTGGATGCTTTCTGATACAATTTGGTTTTATTGTTTTTAAGATCTTGGCTGAAATAAATGAAGAAACATTCATGAAAACATGTAAAATTATTTTTAACTTTCTGATACAATTTGGTTTTATTGTTTTTAAGATCTTTGCTGAAATAAATGAAACATTCATGAAAACACGTAAAATTATTTTTAATAACTCCAGCACTTCAACCTTAGATAACCAGAGAGCCTGTTTTCTTTACATGTTTACAAGGTATAGTTTTTGATGTAGGAATCTTTTAATCAACCTTAGATAACCAGAGAGCCTGTTTTCTTTACATGCTTACAAGGTATAGTTTTTGATGTAGGAATTTTTTTATAATTAAACTAGAGGCCCAGTGCATGAAATTTGGCGCGTGGGGGGGGGGGGGGGGGTCCCTTAGCCCGGCCTGCACCCTCTCGCAGTCTGGCAGCACTCGGGGGAGTGGGCCTAAGCCAGCAGTTAGACATCCTTAGTGCTGCTGTGGAGGCAAGAAAGGCTCCCGCCACCACTGCTGTGCTCACCAGCAGTGAGCCTGGCTTCTGGCTAAATGGTGCTCCCCCTGTGGGAGCACACTGACCACCAGGGGACAGCTCCTACATTGAGCATCTGCCCCCTGGTGGTCAGTGTGCATCATAGCGACTGGTTGTTCTGCCATTTGGTCGATTTGCATATTAGCCTTTTATTATATAGGATTTTTTATTATCTTTATTGTTTAAAGTGTTACAGATGTCCTTTCCCCCGCCTCCATTGACCCCCCTCTGATGTAGGAATTTTAAAGGTTGCCTAACCTTCATCCTAATTTGGCATCCTTCTGTTCTATGTCAAGCTGGGACCAACAATATGGGGCTTTTTAATTTTATTTTAAATAAATGGCAGACAGCTTGCCTAGAAATTTGGTCCTTGGAGAGGGCAGCCCATTGTATCCATACTGTTTTCCACAGGTTGGGCTTGCCCTGTTACCAGGTATATGTGTCTCCTCTACCCAGGCTGGAATGATTGTCCCAGTGTGGTAAGATGAGGGCAGTAAGTAGCAAGATGCTACTCCTAGAGTTCTAACTTGTAAGTATCTCAGCTGAGTACTGTATCTCACCCAGTACACTGATCATTTTTCTACAAGAGAAGTGCTGCTTCAGACAGTGGAGGTTCTTGCATCATTTAACTTGAGCATGGAATTAGTAAAGCATCCTTGACATTATGTCACATATTTTTCCTTGATAAGATGTGCAAGGAAGATTTCTTCATGTGAACTGGTTATTGCCAAACTCAACCAGATTCTTTTTATTTTATTTTACTTATTCTTTATTGATTAAAGTATTACATATGTCTCCTTTTTCCCCCATGGACCTCTCCCCGGCCACTCCCACCCTCCAGCACATGCCCTCACCCTGCTAGTGTCTGTGTCCATTGGTTATACTTATATGCATGCATACATGTCCTTTGGTTGATCTCTTACCCCATCCTCTCCCCTGCCTTCCCTCTGAGGTTTGACGGTCTATTTGATGCTTCTCTGTCTATGGATCTATTTTTGTTCATCAGTTTATGCTGTTCATTATATTCCACAAATGAGTGAGATCATGTGATGTTCATCTTTCTCCAACTGGCTTATTTCGCTTAGCGTTAATGCTCTCAGTGCTGTCTTGATTACTATAACTTTACAGTAAGTTTGAAGTCAGGAAGTGTCAGTCCTCCAACTTTGTTCT